CAACCTAGACGTGATGCAAGCTAGTTATAATATCTGCAATGTGTAACAGCAATTGGCCTGTTCTTGATACATGGTAATGAACCAAATGTTGCAAGTATCATATTTTTGCCAATCATGTTAATGGTGTGAATAACAGGAGTGTACAAAAATTGTTATTAAATAATACGAACTTCCAAAAACGTACATATGTGCGCATTTCTAAACAACAAGCAAACCTCTTACTGGATAAGATTCAGGGTAGATTCATCAAGCTGCGTACGCAAAATATTTTGCGTAAATCTTGTGTACGCATTCGACGTTGCTTAGTTGTGATTCATCAACACAGCTATTTAGTAAATTTTCGTACGATTTCGCGTACGCAAGCGAGGGCCGTTTTAGGTGCCGATTCATCAAGCTAAAATTACGTAAACCTTTGCGTAACTCTACACGAGCTGACGAGGTGCCGTAAACCACTCGAATTTCTGCAGGTGTTTCCAGCATACCGCAGCAATGCATTATTTGATTGAGAAAACATTATAAAATTACTACTCAACTAAAAAATAAATAAATAATTACCATACTACACAGGCGGCGTTTTTACGCCTTCTTTTGTCATAGCTTGGGCATTGTTTTCGTTATAAGCGAGTCGTAGTTAGCCGTGTACGTGCACACGCACGCACGTGTACCGGCACACGCACGCACTTGTACGTGCACACGCACGACGTGTACACGCACGCACGTGTACGTGCACACGCACGCCACGCACACGTGCACAGCACGCACGCACGTGTACGTGCACACACGCACGCACATGCACACGCACGCACGCGCGCCCGTGTACGTACACACGCACGCGCACGCACGTGTACGTACGCACGAACGCACGTGTACGTGCACACACGTACGTGCACGCATGCACATGCACGCACGCACGTGTACGTGCACACGCACGCACGCACGTGTACGTGCACACGCACGCACGGCACGTGTACGTGCACACGCACGCACGCACGTGTACGTGTCGCTGCTTTCATGAGTGTTGAATGCAATCATACAAACGAAAATGAGGACACTATCACAATGATGAATCCCACCTACGAGCTTTTGCGTACGCAATACACTTTACGCAACGTTGTGATGAATCCGCCCCAGAACATTTAAACATTTGTTTCAATTTTGCCAACGACCAATTATAATTCCTAATCAGTTGATTTTCATGAAAGTGATCATGATTATGAAAAATAAAATAAATTCCTATCTTTCTGTATAAACGTAGTTCTCAACAGTAAAAGTTGTACCCCTGCACTAAAACTGCGCGCGCCATTTACACCATAACCGTGTTGTGGAGTCTGTTACCCTAATATATTTTTAGTTTACTCACTATCTACACTCAATCTATACCACAATTCTAATCACATTTTCAGCATTACATATCCTTTGTGACAATATAGTGTGAACATAGATTGCTGAAAGGAGTAATAAGAATCTGCCATAGAAGTGTATAACAATATTTGCCATGAGGATGTCTAAAATAGCTTAGTAGTCCTAAGTGTTGAATGGTTAAAAACATAGGTGTGGTGATGGTTTAAAATGCCATTACATCCATGCCTGGATCTAGCCATAGGTATAACTCGGGGGGGGGGCGTGAGAGACCCATCTAATAACACATGACTCGTATTTGCATTTATAACATATATAGTAATGAGGTTTCTATAGTCGCACATCAATAAGCATTAACAGTTCGATGATGAAAAAGAAGGTTAATTTCCCAAGTAATGTGTGTGGTATCCGGCATGTCTAACTAACGTACCTAACAAGAAGCATTATTTTTATGTATTTTGTTTAGATGGCTCTGCATGGACTCATGGCATTAGTCCAGCTATGTTGGAACCTGCTGATCACATATATGTGTGGAGGTGTGGTTACAGTCACCATGGAATCTGGACTGGTTCAGAAGTGATTCACTATGCACCACCTGAATAGCCAGTAATATTGGCCTGAAATCTGGAGCAAATGTACGCAAAGACCCCCTGGATCGATTCCGTACAGAACGGGCTCTTAAGAAGTACCTATATGGCGTGTCTCCGAAGCCGAGTGGTTTTTGAAAGTTTCGTTGCGCACGTGTTCAGTTAAGGAAAAGTTGCCAGCTGAATTGTGTTCTGAAAAGAGCAGAGGATATGAGTTGGACAAAGCAGTTATGACTTTGTGGAAAATAACGTGAACACTTTGCACTGTGGTTGCAACTAGGACATCGGGCTATTGATGTCCCCAACCAAGCATCTTCAACTGCTATTAAATGTTGTGTTCAGCACTCGCCCACACCTGGGTGCGTAAGCATTGCTTTAGTGCTGCTCATGTGTACTAGATGATTGATAACACCCAGCTACTCAATAATACATTAAAGTTCCTTGTTACTTTGAGCACCGATATACATTACGAAACAAACCATGGGTGAGCTACAGTATTCGCAAGCTTCTGATAGAACTGAATCGTATATAAGCCTGAATGTTGTCAGTAAACAATATCTGGTATTCTTGCTCTTAGGAATGTAGACTGGGTTCTAGTGTATTATTTGCACGCTCTAAAATAATGAACTATTCTCTACAAACGTGTACTGCAAAACATGCCATGCCTGCCGACTACTAACAACAACCACTATAATAACCGATAAATAGCTTTATTATGAAAAAAATACTGCCACAAGAGGTACAGTGAATATAATATATATTATATATTAGTGCTTATTTATGTTTATATAGAATATTGATAGACTCCTGATTATATGTATATATATATATATATACACATATACACATATACAGATATATATGTGTATGTGCGTGCGTGCGTGTGTGCGTGTGTTGTATGTCCACGCGTTCTGCTTGGGAATTTGAGAGGGCATGTAGAGAAGTCTGTATATCACTGTAATGTAGCACGGACCACAAGTGTATGTGTATTAGACCACGTGTAAATAACTGGTGCTTGTCATATTTCTGATTGTATCTATCCTGGGTGGTTATCTAAAATCTTGAATTTAAAAATTATTGTAATTGAATGTATACATGAATAATGCCCCAAATAAATATAATCATAAATCAATAAAATACTACCAGTGCAATTTAAAAGTGCTAGCTTAAGCAAGTGGCATTTTTTTATAATTAAAAAAACAGTCATTATTTGCCTTGTAAAGCAGAAGTGCTTTGTATATTCTATTTGATATTGAGAGTCTATCTAGAGCTCACAGTACTGATTGCTATATACTAAGTTAGTATATAGAGATCAGTGGGTTGCACAGATATCGTCAGTAGAGCCAAGAGCAAATGTGAATCGCATCTATGTCCAATGGATAACATTTAATTATTATAAGAAAAAGTCACCATGTCATTTGTTTTGCATATTCTCATGCATATATGCTTATTCTCATTCTCATGCGTATTCTCATGCGTATTCTCATGCGTTCTGCGTACGTATTCCTCATGCACCAGCAAGGAAAGATGGAGTGCCCTTCATCTGTCCAACCTGTATCAAATGAATCAAATAGCATTTTCTTAAAAATAATATTTTAATTTAGAGAGCACCTACCCGCCCTTATCCTCAAAAATCATTAAGTGACCAGTTATCACAAGTTTTCCTGTAGCTTAGTGGGATACCATGCCTTTACAAACTAAGCCAATTTGCAATTGCAATTTTCCCCTAGTGTATTTAATAAAACGGAGACAAACAATGTTAATTAACAGAATAACATGAGAATCATTAAGAGAGCCTCCGTGGCCCAGTGGGCCTCGTACACTGTGCACTGAAGGCTGTGAGTTCAAACCCCGGAGACTGAATCTCCCGTGGCTCGGATGACCACGTAAAATGGCAGTAAAAGAACCACTGAGGGCGCAAAAAAACTCTTGCTGTCACCACCCTCAGTGCCTTTCGGCTAAAAAAGGCTAAACTACCTAGCTTTACCCAAGCTAGGTCACACATCATGGCTAGCTATAGCCCAAGCTATGGTAATCAAGCAACAAGATTTCTCTGCGGCCGTCTCAGCTAATAGTCGGTTTGCCGGCCCTATATCTCCTATATGTTGACCCTGCAATGTTAATTACTTTGAACTTTTTTCATGGAAATGTGTTCTATATAGTTAGGAGAGCTGATTTAGCTTGGTTGCTACCTGTGCAACGTTGAGCATTTCTTGGAATTCAAGATGGCCGCCGCCGTCGTTTTTGTATTTTGGTCAATTTACAATTTGT